TCAGTGTTTTCCTTTGTTTATATTTTCATTGCTAGAAACCACATTAAAGGTGTGGCTTCTTCAGCTGATCCTCTCATACATCACTTGATGAGAACATGTATTGCCTCAGGTTACTGTTTTGCCAGGACCTGATTGCCATCATCTACTTAATTTACATAACAATTTATTATCTGTTTTTGGCTGAATTTTGTCAGAACTGAAAATTGGTCTACTTTCTATTCTTTTCCTAGTTGGTGATCAAGCTCCAGACAAAGAATGGGGTGGATCATTATTTGGAGACTTGTTCCCGGGAGGAGCGAGATGACTGGGCAGCTGACATCACGGCTGCGGTCGACAAGCTGCGGACGGCTGAAGATAGGAAGGTGACAAACCAGCAAGCCCCTGCTGGATCCCATTTACGCGACATCAATCTGAGGTAAGCCCTGCAAACAAAAGTTCACCCGCAGACGTTGCAGCACCATCCACATGTTAAACCTTGTGGTGTTTTCACTGCCTCACCCTGCAGACAGGTTGCGCTTGTCTTTGCTTGTTTATGACTACTTTATTTTTTTAATCTCTGTCTAATTTCTTTGTCTCTTTTAAAGCAAGGTGTTGGACTCCATGTACGACGTCCACAGTGGTATAAAGATGAGCAACCATGTGGAGCAGGGCTGCACTTACAGCAACTGTTTCTCAGGTGAGCTTTTACAACATCTTTATTCTTCTCCATCATCTCAGGTGATATTTGATCACAAGCTCGTCTGATCGTTAAAATGCATCCTCCTTTATAATTTATCAGTTTGTAAGATGGGATTGTTGGACAACTGGGTTACTGTCTACTTGGTTATAAGCCCTGCACCTCTAATGCTTGTGAAGCCAATAAGGATGAAATGACAGAAGATAAAATATAGTATAGAATATTACCATTAGTTTTCTTCTGTAACTTGATTGTATATTTGCATTTTTAGGCAATTCCACTCTATTTGTGAAGAACCTTTAAGTTGCTTTACATGTACATATGGCAAAGTAATGCATAAGAACAAAATTAAAAAACACGATGAACTGGAAAATACATTAAATTTTAAGCTAAATGAAGGAAATAGAATAATAACTGACACAAAAGTGGACACGGCATGCAGATTCTGGAATCAAGTCTGCAATGCCTTCTTTGTACATGTACATATGCTGTATTTATCTCTACATGTCTGTCTTTCTTTTGTATCTTTATTTTTAAATCCAAGAAGATGTTTATACCTCTATCAATACCTGACAGTATGCATAGCAACATCTTAAGGTACATTTATTGTACATGATATAAAATTTATTCTGTCAATGCAAGTGTCTATTTCTGTATCTAAAGTATATAACATATATAGCAGTGCACATGCGTCTTTCAATATTATGTATCTAAATGTTTATATGGTTCCAATAGGCTATTTGTATATTTTAGAAGGTTTAGATGTATGTATAGACGTATACAAATGTGATGTTGATGCAGGTTCAGCGGTGGTGGACTGGCTGGTGTTCATGCAGCTGACTCTGACCCGTACCGAGGCCATGACGCTGGCCTCGGCCCTGCTGGAAGAGGGTTTCCTGCGAACTGTCGGCCTCAGGAGTGTGGAGGCTCTCCGCACCGCCGGCCTTGGCCAGCAGTTCATGGATGACTCCACTGCACTGTACAGCTTTGTGAGTACCAGGAATTGTTGATGTTCTGACCTCCAGTACCTTATTAATATATAATAATATAATATAATAATATAATACCTACACACGTACATAGATTGCCAGTGTTAATCCATTTATTGATATAGAAGATTGGAGTGGTACTTGTGTGAATAAGAATTTTCATGCTTAATCACAGTCTGACAGCTTAAAGAAGAGAGGCAGTGTGAAGACAGAGTCGTCTGTGTCTGCAGTGGAGCTGAGTGGAAAAGTGATAAAGAGAGGCTATCTGCTCAAACAGGTAAATTCAATTCAATTTTATTTATAAAGGGCCAAATCACAGAGGTTATTAGACCCAACAATTCCCACCATGAACAAGCAACAGTGGCAAAGAAAAACTCTAAACACACTGTATTAGCCCTGTGTTCCAATTTCAAATGTTTAAAACGTGTTTATAAGTTATGCCTAATGGATTTATAAGGTTTTACCAATAGGCCATTATTAACAAACTTTGGCAACTTATCTTCTGGAAAAGGTTGCCGAGGATCTGGACCAAATTGGTTTTATTAAGAACTTACTAACATTTACAATAACATACTTGATGGCTTACAAGGTGAAAACCCCATGGGTAAATGGATTACAAAAAAGCATTATTATTAATTTAGAGATTTTTTTATTTACCCTACAGCTTACAAACCTTTTATAAATAGTGCTTGATTAGAAAGTGATACTATGATGTCTTATGACTTTGGCATTCAAATGTATGACCACAGTCTAACACTTGGCCCCTTTTAAACACAGGGACACAGAAGGAAGAACTGGAAGGTGCGACTGTTTGTGCTGCGTTCAGAACCTGCTTTCATTCACTATTATGATCCCACCAAGGTGAGTGTGCAGCCTATTTAGGGCTAACACAGGTTAAAACTACAACTAAAATCACTAAAGAAAGTCAGTCTGATATTTCACTTATGGACAAATATAAAACAGACACAATCCAAAAATAAATACAGATGACGACACTGAACAGAGGAGGTCTGGCCCAAACAAAGCAGTTGTTTTGTTTGCCTTCTCCTCGGGCCTGCTATGACTCTGAAGCTGATGTTGCTCATAATTCCCTGTAATTCATGTCCACTAATCTGCGTCAGCCTTATTCACTTCCTGTCTTATGTCACTTGTCAGGATGACATCAGCCCCGTTGGCGGCTTCTCACTGCGAGGCTGTCTGGTGTCTTCTCTGGATGACAACGGAGTTCCCTCAGGTGAGTCACTGTCTCAAACTGCAGTTACCTCATAAACTTGTCTTAACAAGTTACTTAGTCTGTGCATTCAAAAATACAAGTATGTGTTTGTAATTTACTTATTATCTCATTTTCTTATTACCTCATTAAAAAGTCAACAAATTGATCACGCTAACAAGCATTGTTTGTGTATTCAAATCCTGAAATATATTATTATGTCTCTTCTTTATAATAAACATGGGTAGTGAAGTTTAATTTAAGTTATTGCCACAAACAAAGTCCTGTTGCTGTAAATATTCAATGGAGCACCGAATCAGCAGCTGTAAATGTCCCCATGATAAGTTTTCTCAACTTTCACTGCAAAAATTTTTTATTTTAAATCATACTTAGTTAGCCATTATACTTTATTGACCCTAATTTCTCTTCCCACACAGGTGTGAAAGGCAAAATTCAGGGCAACTTGTTTATTATCATCACTCAGTCAGATACACGTTACTTCATTCAGGCGCCTACCCACCAGATGAAGATGGACTGGATAGATGCAATTCGAGAGCTGACATAAAGCAGCGGATTCCAGTTAAAACTTCTCTTTTTAACATATCAGATAGTTCATTTATCCAGCTATGAAAAAGACTGACTTTCCTACATTCCATGAATGTATAGCAACAAACAGGGACCATGCAATCACTTGAAAGTGTTGATGTTACATAAACTTTCTGTTTATTTATCACTAAATAGACAATATCATCATTTGATTATTCTGTATTTTAAGGGTTTTTAAACAGTTGTAGTAATTTGTCCTGTAATCATTTGGTTTAAGTTAAATGTATTTCATGTGTTTTACAAGTTTTTTTTTCTATTATTAAACATAACCATTTTGACTTCATTCTCCACATTGAATTTCATGTAACTTCAGACACCGGTGGTGAAAGGTTTACTCAAGCAGTATAGCCTATGTAAGTAGAGTTTTTAGGAAGTTTTCTGCTACTTTATACTTCTACTACACTACAGTTCAGGGATAAGTATTGTACTTTTTACTCACTATTTTTCTATGACAGATGAAGATTTGATCTAAAACAGCATATTATAAACTTAGCATAATAATCTACATTACTCTAGTGGTTCTTTTTTGTTTGTGACCCCTTACACGTGTGTAGTCAGGTCCTCTTTTCATCTTTCAGATGAAAAATGTCTGTGTGTATATACATATATATATATTCCTCTAAACTCCTCAGATGGTTTTATTTAAATAACTGTTTGAGAACCCAAAGATGTAAATTTGTCCAATAATCAACAAATAACAGCAAAGATTTAAGTATGAATACAAATTTTTCTTACAAATTAACTACAATCAAACCGGTTCTACCTCTTTCATACCACATTAATCATCTGAAAACCCCAATTTATTTTGTGACGGTACCTGGTACCTTACTTTATATCAACTATTTACTTTTTTTACTTTTACTTTCAGATCTTGAAACGTTATAAAAAGCATTAAATTTAGTTACCTCAAAAAATACCTTTAAAGCGATTAAAAAGCACTGAATTGTAGTTACAAAACATTTTGTTTTTTAAACATTTACTTTCACATTCAAAATGTTTTTGTATCCAATTGCGGGCTGTTGAGAGACATTACACACTTATAAACAGTGGACTGTGCACACAGGAGGCTGTTTAAAACCTTTTTTGTGGAATTTTTGTCAAAACCATGAGAGCCAGTCTGACCATGTAATAGGTATTAAATTGTCAATCTTAGATTTAACTTGATGAACCCTGCATTTTTTTATGGTTTTATAAGGTACTTTTACTTACTTATCAATGAAAGGGTCTGACACCAGGAGGAAGCACAAGTAGAGACAAGAAATGCCCCAGGAGGTATTTGTAAATTATCAAGTCTTAGTTTAGTAGACCAGCTGCACCCAGCAATTACAGACAGGCACTCCCACTCAGCAAGCTGAGTCGAGCCTTTATCTGAATGACTCAGGCTGAGTTGGTGTTGGTTTACAGCTTTGTTCCAGAGAAGTGACACAATACTTCAGTGATGTAGTAGGTACATGATGCTGTAAAATGGATTTTAGAGGAAATCCAAGTAGCAGACCACAAAGCAGGGAACAACAAAAAATAACAACAAAAGTGATTTATTGCAGTAAAGTCAATATGAAAGATTCAACTAAAAAGTGCTAAGGATAAAAGGAAAGTACAGAAACTAGTGGCCGTTAATAGCTTTTTTAAAGCTTAAGTTAATAGTGGTAGAATAACAGAAAGTGTGACATAACCTAATCCTTCCAGCTTTGTGTTTAATCTGGAGGCAAACTGAGAGGAATAACACATCCTGTGTAATATTGGCATGCACTAATGTAGGCTACTGAAATTGTTTTACATTGTTACACCTGTTACAGTACTTAGTCGGGTACAGAATGACAATCAATTGATTTCAGGAACATTCATCTTCATGCGGGCGCGCTCGTAAACGTAAGTGCTTTCAAAGGTTAACTCCAGAGAAATCAAAGACAAATGTCTGAGATTTTAATGCACAAAGATCTGATGCAGCACTCTTTTTCTTCAGTGACACATCATGTTTGTACAAATATCCATTAAGGGAAAATGTTATAGCTTAAAACTTAATAAACTTCAGTTCAAATCACATTCTTCAGTTTATTTAAGACATTGATGACTGTAACATTCAGTCACTATCTTCAAGTCTCCAAACAGGTAATCTAGTGAAGGCACTTTGATTTAGCACGGGATTACGAGGCAGGTGTAATGTTATTCGGAACTGGAGACACAACATCCTCATCGTGGTTTAATTTACTCACTCAAAAAGTTTCTCTATTCTAATATTATGTTTTTGTATACTGTCCCAGAACATTCTTATGTATGTTCCTTTCTCTGTTGGTAAGACGCTGGTGTTAGGCCACCTTGGTGAGCTGTAGATCTCCAAAGACTCGTAAGGCAGTGAGGGAGGCGAGCTGGGAGAGCCGGTGGGTGAATCCACACAGAGGCTGTCCATCCACCAAGATACGAAACTGCTGGTGCTCACAAACAATCTCCATCTAACAGTCAAAGGTGGATGTAGAGAGGGAGAATGTCAGCTTTTTATATTTCATGATGTACATTTAAAACTTAATACAAAAATACATATTTTTATTGGCTTAAATTGTAAATCATAAGCACAGAAGACAGTCCCATTCATAGTGATGAAGATGTCACATATTTGCCAGTGACACAGTGCCAGCAGGGTGTGAAAGGGGATGGGTAAATTAAATTAATTATTAATAAACTAAGAGTTGATCACAACTTAAAGGCCAAAACATTTTTTTATAATCAGTTTCTTAATATAAGTGATGTGGTCCGACAGAATATTCTGCCAAAATTGAAACAGTTCTGGTTATTCGAAATCCGTATGTGTGTTTTTTAACTTAGATTTTTTTTTTTAGAGGCTTTAAGGGCACAATCTACACTTCTTATACAGGGCTGTGAGGTAATGCTCTGTTCAGGGTAAGAAGATTAACTTAATCATAATGGATACTCTTCCCTACCTTCCATCTCTGCAGCATGAATAAATGTATAGTAGATTTCAGAGGTATACATTTTATGATGACACATTTAATTTCTGGTCCCCCAACAATTAAATAATGACAAATTACTTCCTGTCATCTGTGGCAACCAGACAGATCCATTTAAACTTAAACCTATAGTGCATTTTTAAAGCTGACTTTGCATTGAGTGGAAATGAGCGTACAGTAACTTCTGGATGACACACTCATTTTAATCACCTAACAAATGAAAGACTAAACAGTCACAGTGGGATCTGGATTCTTTATTTCTTTTTCTGTTTTGACATTTGTGTGTTTCCCTACTTTTTTGTGTTAGTTCATTCATGTTGGGACATGTTCATATATCTTTACTGCATTGTTGACCTGGATTGGAAGTGAAGGGATGTTAGAAAGGTGGGTGAAGGGGTAGTGGGGACTGTTTAGATGTTATGATGGGGAAAAAAACTTGAACTGAGAATCTTGTCATTTTGCATGCGTCTTAACCTAAAAAAAGTATCAAAAAATAAAGATGTACTTTCACTGAACCACAGGAAGAGCACTAGGAATTCACCACTTAAGCTATTTTTTGTAGTCTAAGATCATGCAGAGATCAGAGAATGAAAAATAAAGGAAGGGAAAATAAAACTTTGCTTTAGTCCATGATGATCAATTGTTACTTAAAAAATCTTCCCTTGTACAAAAATGTGCGCACAAATGTCAACGGTTATACATTTACCTTGAAGGATTCTCCAGGTGCAAAAGGAAAGAAGGAGAGGGTATTTTCTGCTGGACCCCACTTTCCAGCCAGGCGGGCGTTGCGTTGGACAGCCTTATCCATGAAGCTCACCTTCAGCTGAAGTCCCACGTCACCCTCTGTGTCCTCCTCCAGAGGCTTACTGGACAGGGTCACCTCAATACTGTTCAAACACACGGGAGCAATCAGGGACAGACAGAAGAGGTGCAGAATACAACATTTTAAAAAGACTGACGTGCTGCGGTAAAATTTTACATTTACTCAAGTAGTGTACAAATTTTAGGAACTTGTTAGGATTTGGTTTTGTATCTTTGTTCATATCTTTGTATTTATTCCTTGCTCAATGTTGCTATGATGTTGGTTAATGTTGTAGTATTCAAGACCGGTCTTGGTCTTGAGACCGGTCTTAAGACCACTTTTTGATGGTCTTGGTCTTGTATAGGACTCGACCCCATTTGTACGCGGTCTTGTCTCGATCTTGGACTTTGAGGACTCTGGATTTTATTTCAAGTTTCAAGTCAACCTTGGGAATATCAATAAATTGCTTTTGCATACTCTGATTTATTTGTTAACATCCTAACTTTGACTGGATGGACAACGTATTGCTTCAAATGCAACCAATAACCCTAAATAAAAGTGTGTCACTCCTAATCGTGATGGTAAACAAGGAAAAAGAGTGTTGTATAAAGATGCTTACGTTGATTTCAGCTCTTAATGTTTGTATGTGGGTGTTTTAATAAGTATGTGGATCTTTCAGATCAGTTTGAGAAGCACCTATGATCTCGTTCCACATTTTATTGTGTGTCATGTAATGTGGAGAACTGGTCTTGGTCTTGACTTGGTCTCGGTTTAGGCGGTCTTGACTACAACACTAATGTTGGTCTTGTCTGCTTCATGTTCTGTTTAATCTAGTGTTAGTCTGTTTCCGGTTTGATTGTAGTTAATTTGTAAGATTTAGTCTGTCTTGTGTTGATTTGTGTTCTCCGTCTGGTGATTTATTATTTGACTGTGTTTAGTCTTGCGTGCTTGTTTCCTGTCATGTTTAGTTTGTCTTTCAGTGTTCAGTTATGTTTCTGCATTTTGGTCTGGTCCTGCCTGTTCCCCTCATTTGGTTTCACCTTCTTGCCTGTGACTGTGCCTAATTGGCTCCTGATGTGATCCACCTGTTTTATCTTCCCGCCTTGCTCATTACCTGGTGTTTAAATGTTTGCTTGTGGTGTCCTTTGTCTGTGTTGAGTGTCCTGTCCTGGCACTGCACTTTTTTGGATTTGTCTTTGGGTTATACCTTGTTCCTTTTTTATAGATTTCCCCTGTGTATTATGTTTTTGTTTGGACATTTGCCACTGTGCTCCCAGTGTAAGCCTGCTTTATTTGTTTAATAAGTTTTTGATTGAACTGCATCCTCCTCGCTGTAGTCTGAGTTTGGGTCCACACCTCTGCTCTCTGTCACTGCAGTCAGCCTTACCATGACACTTGTACTTTACATGAATATTCTCTTCTTGTAACACTTCTACTCCACTACAATTCAGAGGAAAATATTGTACTTTTTTACGTCACTACAGATATTCCATACCTTTAGTTACTTTACAAAATCAGATTTCTGCACATAAAATATACAAGTACAGCTGAAATGTGAAATGAAATGAGTTGATTGATCGATTGACAGAAAATCAAACTGCAAATATTTTGATAACTGAGTAATTGTTCATGCAAAAACATTTAATGGTTCCAGCTCCACAAATATGAAGATTTCCTGCTTTTCCTTTTAATTATTGTGTATTTTAAATTATTTTGAGGTTGGACTATTGGTTGGACCAAGCAAACATCGTGAAGGTTCTGGATAATTCTGATTTAATTTATCACACGTTTTAACAAACCAAACAATTAATTGATTAATGGAATAACATCTTCAATGCAGGACTTTCACTTGAATAAGATTAGTTTTACTGTGTGGTATAAGTACTTTCACTTGGTAAAGGATCTAAATACTTCCTTCACCACTGCTGACATGTAGCTTTTCTGTTTGTTGGCCAGCCTTTAATTTCTTCTAACGGAAATAAACTTGGTCTGTATAGATTCTTTGGAGTACAGAGACATCTTCTGGTCTTTCTAAGAACTGTCATGTAGTAATGATGCATTTAATGAAGAAGAACGAATGACAAATGATCTTGATAACTGATGGTGGGTTTAAGCACACTACTTAATAAAACATGTGAGGAAGGCACGTTGGCTTAGTTTTGCAGGAGAACTTATAATACTGTTCATTTTGTAACCAAGTTTCAGTGGTGGAAAATAACTATTTACAATTACTTAAATACTGTACTTAAGTACAATACTGAGGTACTTTACTTGAGTATTTCCATTTTATGTTGGTCCTACTACTATATGTCTTCTAGTCCATTACATTTCAGAGGGCAATATTGTACTTCTAACTCACTACATTTATCTCGCAGCTATAGTTACTTTGCAGATGAATAATTTTCCTGACAAAACATTTGATCCGTATATGGAATATGATGCAGTGCAATATAGTAAAGGGTCCAGAATGATAAGGAGTAATAAAAACTAGCTCAACCTTGACCAGCTACAACATTAAGGTATTGCTCATATGTTTATTCATCAGTAATAACGATCCAACAATAATAATAATAATAAGACACTGACAGCATTCTGCACAATGCTTACCTCTATATTTGACCCTTATGTTGCACTTTCAATTAATTAGTATTTTGACTATATATAAATGTCTGTGTGTATATACGTGTGTATGTATTTTGAGTATATATATATATACTTATTTTAACTGTGATCATACACATAGCTCTATCTTCGCATAGCATTATTACAGTTTTTGGTAATTTAAACTTAATTTGAACTTGATCTGAGTTAGTTAGAATCATAATAATCACTACTGACAAATACAATTAAAATGCTCTAAAGTTACCACTGGCATGACTAAGGGTTAGGAAAAGGGTCCTTTGAGAGCATATGTCCTTAAAAACTCCTAATGTTTCTGCAGCTAAAAAAAGTTCTGCATCATAGTTTATTTTTATAGAGCATGTTTTCTTGTGCAGCCTAAATGTCATTTTTTACTGGACATAATTGAGGAGTGAATGAATAAATAGCCAGCTGATGTTATCAGCCAAAGAAAGTCCAGTGTGACTCTTCAGATTTCATGGGATTTGAAGCTCTCCCACGCACATTCACAGACTAACCTATAATTAGGAAAGGCACTGGCATTACAAAGATATTTTCCCAAAACGGGGACTAGCTGGTTGGCATATGCACTCAAACACAGACAACAGCTGTCTATTGGCTTTAAAATTCTGTTTTACAACAGGACAGGGCATTTTTACCACTAACTTTAATTGCCTGCCACCTCCTGTGTGCAGCAGTATATCAATTATGTACAATTTGCTTTTTATGACGACATGAAAACAAGTGTGTACACTAACCTCTTGGGTTTTTTGTTTATAATTCCCATAACAACCAGTTTCATTGAAGGCCGCAGCCCACCCTTTATCTCTCCGTTATACTCCCCCTGTGAAACAATGGAGATGTTTATACAGATCATACTGGATGAGGCCTGCCGCTAAACAAGACAGCACACTTAGTTTATTATTGGAGGATATGGTTCTCCATCATGCAGACTGCTGATGTCTTAATCTGCGGTGAGCTGCCACCTATAGCACTGATGGGAACAATAGCTTTATTGATCCACGTTTTAAACAATCAGTGATTCAGCTGGACAAACTGTGCTTCTGTATTCATTTTTCAGTAAGCCATGCCGAGGTCTATTATTTTAAATGAAATCATACTCGTGCATAAACGTTGCAATGCATGCCATAAAGCGAACAAAACGTGGATACATACATGATCTTTCTTGTCCTTTTCTTCCATTCCACTCAGGGCGTGATGCGGTGTGGAGGTTTCGAGCGGTGATGCCAACTGAGGGCTGATTGACTCTGCCTCCAGCTGGCAAACCCCGCCTGTACTACGTTGTCATAGAGACTGGCTCCCAATTTGGCGGTGGTGATGGTGGGAGACAGGCGGAGGGGGAGAGAGGGGGATATATTACAAGGTGAATAAACACGTGTCAATTAAATCCTAATCATTTGGACGAAAAGTTAGTTAAAGATCAGGTTGATTCATAAAGGCTGTTTTTTGGGGGACTGATGCGAACATGTTGCATTCATAGTAATTTTAACCGCGTCTTCTGCAGAAAGCAGATTACAGGTCTACAAATGTATCTCTGTCGCTGGATCTCATCGTGCTTTAAGTCTGTGCTTCCCGGTGCTTCCCCATTCAAGCCGCTTCGGAGCGCTCAGTTTCATCAACCGGACGCTGCGTTCACTGATCATAGTTCTCCTTGTTCAAGGTGAAATCTCAAGTCTCATTCCCAATTCAGACCCCCTCATCCCCAAGTTAGTATGGTTATAATTTGATTAATTGGTAATTCATTTAAGAATAAGCACAATGTAAACATAATATCAGGTGAAATATTAGTGGAATTAAAATATATAATAAAATAATAAAAGGGCCTCTCAATGAGACGGTGCAAGTGTCTCCTGAAATTACCATTTAATTTATATTGGGCTTTAGTGGTGCATATTACTAAACACAGAGCAATTATCCAAATTACCACAAACTAATTGTCAAGAAGTGAACCGGGAGCCTTTGAGGCGGCTGATTGTCTGGGGGCCAGGGTGCAAATCTTTTTGTCCACCAGCCAAACGGCTGAATGTTCAAAGTGTAGGCTATCAGTTACTCAATAGATTACCATAGTTTTCTCGTTGAAGAGTGAAGTAAATATACCATTCATTTGCATATTTTACCAGCAATTGGCTGGTCGCTTGTGGTTTCTTCCAGGGGCATTTACCCACTACCAGTTTATAGGACCATAATCCAGCTTTTTCCAAAAACCCCTTTCTAACATAAACAACAGCCAGTGCCTTGTTCTGTGTTGCTAAAAGAGGATAAGATTGTAATGTGTTTTGGGCTGGACTACTAACTTTCAGCTGTATCACATGGTCCTGATCAGCAGATTAAGTTTGCTAAATTGCCACAGCAACTGAGCCATGGGACTTCTCATCTATGTTAACTTTTGAAGATTGACATGAAGCATGCAAAGTTTGAACATCTACAGCTCAATGGCAACAGAGCAAACTCAATCTGCTGTTGAGGACCATGTGATAGAGTTGGAAGCTCCAGAACAAGCACGCTGAAACAGTTTTTTCAACTAGTTTCCAAGTTCATAAATAAACTGTCGACTTCTGTCGTGCTTTTTTCACATTCCCTGTCAAATATCCTATATATTGTCTGCATTTATTTCTATTATTTTGGATGCTTGTACATTTTGGATCTCTTTACTTTTTCTATATTTATGTATATTTATGTATATATTTATGTGTACTGTTAAGCACCAAAATACCAAGGTAAATTCCTTATATGTGAAAATGTACCTCGCAATAAACCTGATACTGATTCTGAACTTTTACAACCTGTCTAGTTCTTTATACTCCTGCCTAAAGATGTAGAACATGTCTTAAAACATATTCTTAATTAAATAATACTAATAGTTGTTTCACAGTAGTTTGCGTCCTTCTGATTCAATGGCTGTAACTTACTCCCGACAGCACTTGAAGGCAGCAGTAACGCCCACCTCGTGCCAACCTTTGACCAACCAGCGGTGGAGAATCAGCTGATTTTGTCACATGACCTTTGTTAGCATGTAGCTAGCCTCCTAGCATAACAGGTAAAGAGGCTGGGAGTGTAAATAAACCTCCGGTTTCTGGATAAACAGCTCAAAGAAATGAGTAAGTAACTTTATTGAATGCTCGCTAGCTCCTAAACGCTTTATGCGTGTGCAAAGATACACGCCTGTCAGATGTGAGGGAAGTTAGATAACTTAATGTTTCTTTTACTGTCAGTCAGCAATATTTGAGCTAATGCTAACGCTAACTATTGACATTAGGGTAGCTGTCAGATCTGAGAAGAGACGAACGGTGAAGATGGGAACTTTTAAAAGCGTATTTAGTCTCGCAGACTGAACCCAGCAGCTCACTGGGCAGGTATTTAGATGTAATTTTTTTCTCAACGTGCGTGGTTTGTTTGCACAGACAGTTATTGGGACAGATAACGTTAGAGTTTTGTGTCAGAAAATAAGCATGGGTAAAAGGTTGTTAATAAGTGAGCTAAAATTAATCACTTTTGGTTATCGTGCAACAAATATACAAAGGAAACTTGTGATCAGAGATGATAACCACCATTTTTGGTGGTGATTACAGGTAATGAATTATGTTTCAACTATATATTTTGTGCTTAATTGGAAAAAAAAATATTGCAGTACTGTTTAAAATGCAGGATTTCTCAAATCAAACTGCTTTATACTCTTTATTTATTGTTCACGTATACTGCAATATGAGGAAATAAATTCAAAAGAGAGTTATAAAAATTGTAAATAAAGCTTCTTATCAAGAACCGACTAACCCACTGTTTTTTAAATGAAAGGCTCTAAAAGTCAAAGACTTGGTAGACTTTAAAATGTTCTTGTATACGGTAAACAACAAATTACTACCTGAAAGTATCCAAAAGCTGTTTAATAAGGAACAATTATAGTGAGGGACTGAAAATGTCTGGCACAATTTGTCAGAAATAACGGCCAAAAATAAAAATGTATGACCAGAATGGCATATAGGCAATAGTAGAGTAGGGACGGTGTTTAAATGTTAGTTTTGACATCAAATTGAAAGCACAATCACCATATTCTGCTTGTTTCAAATAACATGCATGTCTTTGTTTTGTCAAACTAAGAACTCAGGCAGTTTTTCTTTCTGTTTCAAGTGAAGAAAGCTCAAACTTCCATGGCTATATGGAAGTAAAGGTGCTTCTCTATTTGTGACAACTGAGCAGAGGAGTGTTGCAGTGAAAGTGGCCATGCATCCCTTCGGCTGCGAGGCAGAGACCTCCCTTCAGGACCTGTTTGAGTACTTCAAGAGATGTCTGCAGCATGGAGAGTGGGAGCTGGCCAATGCCTGTGTGCCACAGCTGGTTAACTCAACGGGAGGTCTTTCAGAAAACCTACAAGGCATAATCAAAGCTATTGTTTGCCATCCTTACACTTTAAAGTGAGTCACGCAGTTGCATGTTCACACGACAACCAGTTTTTACTTGTGTGAAAAGATTTGAAAAAACAAAGCTATATTTGTGCTATGTATTTAATGACTGTGTGTTTATTATGTAGATGGGAATCTGTTGGCAGTCCACACAAACTGGCTTGGTTTTGGCTTCAGGTTTTGGAGAAATGGACAGAAGAGCAGGTAATACTGTGAACAATCAAGTGTTGCAGTTCTCTCTATTGTACTTATTTGGCTTACTCTGAAATAACACATTTTGTTTGCTCAAGCAGTATGTTGGTATTTGAGACCATCTGTGTTCGTGTTAGCTTACAACTCATATTTTGGTTAAATCTCAGAAATTGCTCAGTGTCCTTTAACTAAGCATATAATATTGTGTTGTGTGACAGTGTGACATGATAACTCTACTCTTGTTTACTTTCCATTTCAGGTTCCTCCTAACATCAGAAGAGAGCTAGAGTTCCTGCTGCTCCTTGAGGAGCTGGGGTCAGAGGGCATACCAGAGACTGTACTCAAGGTAAATAATCATTTTTTACTTGTGTTTTACCTTCAGATATATGGGAGTCGCAGTTTATGTTTACACAGGCCGTGTACAAAGAATAACTTTGTTTTGTTTTTACTGTTGTACATGTGTGACTATGGACAAAATTTAGCACTAAGATAAATTATCTTTCAACAGGAGTTGCACCAGGCCTTTTTCGACACACAGTCTGAGCAAAAGGCCCCAGAGGGTTCAAGGACAACAGATGCTGCTGTTGAGTCTTGCCTGCGAACCTTATTGGAGAAAAAGAAGCCCAGACTCGCCCAGTCTTTAGCACATTTCTTACAGGTAGACTCAAACAGATAAAGCAGCCAAAAGTGTTTATTTATATATATATATATATATATATATTTTTATTAGAGAGAGTAGAACTGTAGGACTGTGTCACAATATCTCACAAAAGTGAGTGCACCCCACACATTTTTGTAAATATTTGATTATATTTATTAATTTGACAACACTGAAGAAATGACACTTTGCTACAATGTAAAGTAGTGAGTGAATAGCTTGTATAAATGTATACATTTGCTGTCCCCTCAAAATAACACATCACACAGCCATTAATGTCTACAATGTTGGCAACAAAAGTGAATACACCGGTAAGGTCAAAATGTCCAAATTGCACTGCCTTAACCCTCTTGGTCATGGAGTTCACCAGAACTTCACAGGTTGCCACTGGAGTCCTCTTCCACTCCTCCGTGACGACATCACGGAGCTGGTGGATATTAGAGACCTTGCGCTCCTCCACCTCCTCACAGATGCTCAATAGGGTTTAGGTCTGGAGACATGCTTTGCCAGTCCATCACCTTTACCCTCAGCTTCTTTAGCAAGGCAGTTGTCACCTGGTTGCCGCCACAAACGCTTGACACCATCTGAACCAAATAGGTTTATGTTGGTCTCATCAGACCACAGGACATGGTTCCAGTAATCCATGTCCTTAGTCTGCTTGTCTTCAGCAAACTGTTTGCGAGCTTTCTTGTGCATCATCTTTAGAAGTGTCTTCCTTCTGGGACGACAGCCATGCAGACCAATTTGATGCATTGTGTGGCGTATGGTCTGATCCCCTACTACCCCTTCAACCTCTCTGGTTATGACGTTGAGCACGTGCACTCAACTTCTTTGGCCGACTATGGCGTGGCCTGATCTGAGTGGAACCTGTCCTGTTGAACCGCTGTATGGTCTTGACCACCGTGCACCGTGCAACTCAATTTCAGGGTTTTGGCAGTCTTCTTATAGCCTAGGCCATCTTTATGTTGAGCAACCATTTCTTTTTTTCAGATCCTCCAGAGAGTTCTTTGCCATGAGGTGCCATGTTGAACTTCCAGTGACCAGTATGAGGGAGTGTGAGAGCAATAACACCAAATTTAACACACCTGCTCCCCATTCACACCTGAGACCTCGTAACACTAATGATTCAGTTGACACCGGGGAGGGAAAATGGCAAATTTTCACCTTAGGGGTGTACTCACTTTTGTTGCCAGTGGTTTAGACATTAATGGCTGTGTGATGTGTTATTTTTAGGGGACAGCAGATTTATAAAAATGTGAGGGGTGTACTCACTTTTGTTAGATACTGTATGTACATGTACGTACACGTGAATTTGTAAAACTGATGGCGATGGACAGTAAAAGACCAAAAAATACATACACATTCTGTTTTTTTTGTTTTTTTTTGTTTTTACAGTTTAGTATGTTGAAAGTATTTTTAACATCATATCAAATCCTAAAGGCTCAGCTTTAAAAAACTGCTTCATATGTTTAATAGGTAAAATCAAAAAAACATTTGAATTTATGTATAGATTGTGTATGTATACATTTTATACCACCAGTATGGTCCTTTTCCTTTTTCCCCATCTCCTATAGGACCAGTCATGCACAAAGGATCATACTTTGCAGCAAACGTTCATCCAGCACCTGATGAAGAAACTGGGAAAACCGGAGAGAGGTCCAGAGAAGGTGGAGGAGTGGGTGGAGGAGATTTACACCGTCTTGTCTGTGATGCCATGGAGCTCTCGTAGAAGCGGTGGGCAGCTGGAGGCACTGTGTGAGACACTGTGGGCTGCCAGAAACGGCCCCCTGAAAGAGGAGAGGATCCTGAGCTCGTTGCTTCGCCCTCGGTGTGATGCTCTCGTCTCGGTGTACTGTACCACCGCTTTGAGACTTCAGAGGGATCATCTGCTGAGGAGCTCGCCTGACACACAAGGTAGTCTGAATGTGTTCAGCTTTGATTTTGAGAAGCCAGTTTAAGAAAGTTTGCTTACTCTGATACTAAACTGGTTGTGGTGCCACATAAACCTATTTCTCCTTTGACTCATGAATTCTTCAATACATTTTGAGCGTTATTTGTTAATAATTCTTTTGGTATAATCAGGATTTGCCCTATAATTAAAATAAAACACAGATGCATTTATGATGTGGCCCTTTAAGTGATCTTTATGTTAACCAGTATGACCAGACTGCAGCAGTCGTATGTTCCTCTGAGCTGTTTTAGTTGTTTAGTTGTCAGTTTGTCTTTTGTTTTGTAGAAACAGGACCAATAAGATATTTAAAGCCTTCTTTGCTTTCAGTGTTAAAGAACAAACATTGGCATCACCCCTTTTCCTCTTTTAATCTCACTTCTGCTTCTGTGGGTAACGCTGGGCAGATCTTACTTAGTGTCATGAAAACTTTACATGTGAC